AGAGAGATGTTGGAACGTCTGTAATTTGTTATTTAATTAATATACGCGTTTCATCACACATAGTCAACCGTATCAGCTCACATTGACATTATGTATTATTTTTCTCTGTGAATAAATCAAATAATAGTTTATAACTAATTTTGTGACTGAAAAGTGATATAACAATTTTTTGTTATTTCAGGAGAATATAACACCACCGAGTTCCGCTCCACCAGTCTTTACCCCACCGGAAATCGCGCCAGAATTTTTGCTAGAAGATGAATTTGTTCAAATGGATGGTAATTACACAACTATTTTTATTTATACATATTATTTTCTTACAGGATGTTTCAATAACTGTTATCACCTTAAATATCTACGAATCTATAAAAAATTCAGAAGAAAATTTATTTAATCAAAGTTGCACGATATAAACCCAGTAAACCATAACACAACTTGTTACATTATATAAATATAAATATATGTATATTATATATCATTTACATTTGTATTATGTAATAGTTATAAACATACGTATATATTTATGTTATGTTATGTAACAGTTATATTCAAAGTTTACTGGAAAGAGGGTTATTATATGATAATTTTTGTCCAGTATATCGTACAATTTTGGTTATATAAATTTGCCTCTGAATCTTACAGATTTAAAGATATTTAAGGTAATAATTATTAAGACATCCTGTATATTGCTTATATCTATATAATATATAATTACAAGAATTTATCTACCTATTATATACATATACAATATATACATATATATGTGTGTGTTTGTGTGTGTGTGTGTGTGTGCGTGTGTGTATGTATGTATGTGTGTTATTACGTAGAATCGCAAGAAGGAAAGCCAATGGTGAATGGTGATAGTGGATTCATGATAAATTTGTCTCAAGATCAAAAGGATCAATACGGTTCACAGTTCGGAGAGGAGAAACCAGATGAAACGCCAGGTATATTAGGTGAGCTTCCACATTAAATTAAAATACTCGGAATGTAGGCTATGATAATAGTTGAAATATAGGAGGTATAATTATTCATTTTAATCTATAAAATATTATGACTTGCTGCACAGTCGTGGAGATATCAGATGAATCGGGTGATAAGGTAAATTGGTATAATGTCACAGATCATTTGTAGATATTAAATATTTTAGTAATTATGTAGATATACGAACCTTCCTTTGATGACCTTGACATATGTTGTCAAGGTCATGACCTCGAGTGATAACAAATTTTAGCCGTCGCTCGTTGTTCGTTAAAAAGTTGTAACGATAAAATTTAAAAATTAACGTATCATTTCTGCTATAACGAAAGTTATACCCATGTAAACCCATGTAGAATCTCGCTGTGTATGTAAAAAATGTATGCGTGGATGCAGTAGGTTCCGTCCCCCTACGGGAAACTCCACTACCGACAAAATTAACCCAACCCATTTTTTACTTTCGTATAAAAAATTGTAAACTCTCATATTGGACTTTGCTTCATGAATAACATTTACAAATAAGCATATTTCGCAAAAATATTATTTTCGTATCTCCACACTATATAGATTGTAGTCGTCAGATTCCACATATAAGCGTAAAAAATCGGACAAATTCTCTGCTCTAAAAATATATAAATTATATAAAAAGATATTTTGCGCTGCTAAAGCGGGGAAATTGTTTCATCGATATGCAGTCATATCCTAATGTTAGGTTTTTTCATGAACTTTTTTTGTTAACTTTTAATTAATACGAATCGAAGCCTGTAACAATCTAGCTGGATCTTAGTTGCTTATATATAATTTCGTGTGAATTTATATACTGATATATGTAGTCTTTTCTAAATTGCGCGCCGAACAATTGTCTTTTATTTATATTTAATTATTTAATATTTTTTTGTATATTTTAATATTTAATATTTTTCACAATAAGAGTTATTAGTTTTCAGATTTTAATGTCGTTAAAGATCGATATAAAATCCCAAAAGAGCATCAAATAATTATTAAATCGTTAATCAATTTAATTCGTGATAGTACTGCGGTAGTTTATTAGAGTTGCGTTTCAAGACCGACAATTGTTCGACGCGCAATTTAGAAAGACAATATATATCAGTATATAAATTCACGCGAAATTATATATAAGTAACTAAGATCCAGCGCTAAACTATAAACCTCGATTCGTATTATGTTGTTATATTGACAGGTCCTTTAAAATTTAATATTTTTTAACGATCAACGAGCAATGGCTAAAATTTGTTCAAGGTTACTCAGGATGATGTCGTGACAACAGGTCAAGATCATCGAAGAGTGGTTCATATATCTGCATAATTAATGATATCTTATTTTATTTTTCTTTTTACAGAAAGCATGCAATTTATTTTTATCAAACGTTTAATATATTTATACTATTAATATTTCTTATGTCTTAATAATAAATTCTTTTTTCTGTTTCAAAACAAAATTTTATGTCTACAATGAATTATTTTGTTTTTTTATTAATCTAATGTGATATATGAGATACATGATTCATATATAAAGTTACGGAGAATTACTTTATGTGAAGAGTAAATTTATTGGATTCATAGACGGAAAAGGATCCTAAATCTGAAGATCTCAAATCTGCTAGTCAAAAAGACGACTTCGGTCTTGGAGTGGCTCAGATTGTAATTACAGCCGCAACTCCGATGGAAGAAATCGAGCATCCTTTCCCCGAAGTAGAAGAAACTCCAGAAAGCTCGGCAAAGTCTGCAGATGTCTCCAAAGACGATCCTGAAGTTTCAATTGCGGCTTCAGAATTGAATGAAAGCGAATGTAAAGAAGAAGAAGAGCCAACCGTTATTTTGGACGAGAAAGAGGGAGAAGAAGCTGAAGAAAAGTCTACAATTGACGAACTTCCAACCGACTCGGCACCGTTCCCAATCAGCAGTAGTTCTGGAAGCGAAGCGGAATCAACATCTGGTCCCAGCACCAACGAAAATTCTCAGTCGAGGGGAACAGTGGTAGAAGTGACAGAAGAAGTCACAGAGGTTATGGAAGAGGACGAAATTGCGCCAGGAAAAATGCTAGTAGGAGGAAGAGCTAGCATTCCAGACGAGCTGCAGCCGGATCAACTGGAAAAATTGCAATCGCTCAAGGAATCGAACGCCTAGGGCTGACTAGGCCCCGGGGTCCACAAGGGCAGAATTGTTTTGCCCGACGGCCACCCCGACAACTTCCGACATCTGCTAGACTTCTGGCGATCACCTGAGGTGCTAGGCAAAAAAGACTAACTGTAATAAACTCACACTAAGACTACCTGAAATTCATAAGGTTCTTATGGTGATCGAGTAGTGGTGGAAATACAGATGATTGAAATTGTGACTGAATCATCTTTCAAGTAGTGGATGTTAATAGATCAAGTGCTGAAGACTGTTTAAATTATGGCTCTAAGCATAAAAATTATTTTCATGTCCCTAAAGCACTTCTATTGAGAATGAAATTCGCAACTATTTTAAAAATAATGTTATGTTATATAATTATTAATTAATCAAAACCACAGAAAAGATTCATTTATGAAATTACCATTACCTTATCACATTGATTTATTAACATCATGAAAGGAAGAAAAAATGATTTAGAAAATTAATCGAAAAAAATGATTAAGTTAAATGAATAATTTAAAGGTAATAAGAGATGTTTAAATCAGGACAGTTACGAAAGTTAGAAAAATTAATATACAAGATCACCAAGACTTCATGTAAAACTTCATATAAGGTCACCGAGATTTCTCTTTGTGTTGATTGATTAATACAAGGTTAGAAACATTATAATTTGTCCTATCTCAGAATAAATTAAGCTTTGATAAGTTGAATTCTTAAGTTAATGAAGCTAATGAAGGGAGTGGAAGGAGAAGTTTTCTTTCGTAGGAAATGATGTACAGTGAACCGGGATAATAGAAAGAATTGTCGATACCTGTGTATTATAAAAGACGTACATTTCAAAGGAATTACACTGGTGTTGCATGTAAAAAGGACTATTCATTCAATGTTCCTCATCTTTCATGTGTGTTCATTTTATCCTGTTATCCAACATGTTAGAAATCTATAATAAAGCGTATAAAAATTTATACGCCAACCAATTTTTTTCAATGTATATTGCAAGAAAAAATTCAAATGATTTTTGATGTCATGATCGAATATATAGCTATACCAAGGAAATAAGTCAGAAACTGTAAATAAAATTAAGATTAATTACAATTCTAAACAATTAAATTGTTTATAATGACGTTATACATTAGAATAATGTTACATGACAAATTTTCTTTTATAAATGTTTCGAAATTTTAATATTTTATTTATAGGATACAGTTTTTATTATATGTATATTCAATAAAATTAAATGTACTTTTTATTTTGTTAAAGATATATATGTATATATATTTTATTATAAAATTATCGAATATATATAATGAATTTAGAGGCCCATATTCTGTAATTCTCAACGACTACAATGATACCATTATTATGCATATTTTGTATACAATAAAAAAAATTTCGCAACGACAATTTAATGATATCATTAAAGTCAGTTAGAATCGTTAAGAATTACATAATAGGCCTCTTAATTGTAAGATCATTATTTCAGTTTATGATTGTGTTTTAAGTCAACAAACCGATTCAGCGCACAGTCTATAGAACTGATAATTGTATTTATATATTCACATATATTACTAAATATCAAAACTCGCTTTGATCGAAAAAATAGTATTCTCCTCTTTTATTTGTATTCAAACATTTTTTGTTTATTTCACTTAATATTATATATAATTGTATATATCATTAAAACACTAAAAATTTTACAAAAAAAGAATATTTACGAAAAAAATTTTGAACATTCCAAAAATGAAATAAAAGTTTATAAAAAAATTTTAAATTTCATTGTACAATACACACACACACACACACACTCTCTCTCTCTCTCTCTCTCTCTCTCTCTCTCTCTCTCTCTCTCT